TCAGCGAGGCCTAGTATAGGGCAACAACTTGTCTGTGGGTGATGGTGTGTGTCGCCAATAGGTTTACACATATAATCCGTCCTGAACCACTGATGTAAAAACCGGGTGACCTACATTTAGCAGTATCCCATATAAGCTTGGGGACACCATTGTACCAGCTTGGGAATAGAACCCGAATTATCGTCATAAGGAGCCAACTCTCCCTCCACTAGACCAACCAACGAGTACGGAAGGCTTACACTGGAGTTAGATCTCCGGGAATAGCCACAGATACGACCAATACGCAAATTGTGTCTGATAATATCGAGTGAGTATTTGTAAGGGCAAAATCATGGGTTTGTTGTGATCAGAAAATGACCAACTCACCAGCATAATGCAGTTCTTTCAGTCACTCATTCAGCAAGATTCATGTAATAATTGAAATACATAGCTGCAATACAGGAACACTAAACACACCTCACGGACTGAGGACATTTAACACAATACTTTGAAAGCCGAGAGACTGTCATCATCGAATGTGGAAACATTATACCGTGCATCAACTGATTAGAGGATACAACACATGGATTGATGTTGGGTCTTAGATTCAGTGATGCCCCATGAAACAATACAACGAGGGTCGCTACAGTCGTATTTAGTTCACAATTTGAGGACATTTCCAAATTTGAAGCATCAGTGACAGGGTCAGTTTATGCGATTCACGATCTGTACTATAAGTGGTTCCCGATGTTGTACAACTGTGGCAGGATACGCTCACCTTATCGCGAACATGGTACCATCACTATTTCATAGCCACTATGCTTATGATAGAGTCGATATTGAAAAGTAAATTCTGCTCTTGGCAACATTCTGGTGGATGTGGGAAAGGGTTTGTTGCTTGTGTTTACATTTGGAAACGTTCAGGCATGCATACAACAGCAAACGAAGGGATGACACATTACATAGTTCACACAATGCTGAGACGTTAATTGCAACCTTTCACATGATCATAGCTTGATACCTGACACATTTGTTAGGTTTAAATTTGTACAGTGATTAGACATCAGTGCCGATACACACACACGCATACATATATATGTACACATACACACGGTAGACCTTAGAAAGGTACATAATGTACTACAGATTCAATAACGAAACAGAATTTCAGTTTCAATAGAGAGACGCCACAGATACAGAATGACGTTCCACATTTAGTTAATAGTTTCAGATATGAAGCATTGCATCTAATATATAGTAATGATGCATCATATAATTAATTCAAAATTGAAGCAGCATACTTTATATCCAACAATGAGTGAGTGAGTGAGTACGGTTTTACGCCGCTTTTAGCAATATTCCAGCAATATCACGGCGGGGTACACCAGAAATGGGCTTCCCACATTGTACCCATGTGGGGAATCGAACCCTGGTCTTCGGCGTGACGAGCCAACGCTTTAACCACTAGGCTACCCCACCGCCCTTCAACAATGAAGTTGTGTATGATAGATTCAGGGACGAGCCAGTAGACTATAGGTACAATAATGAGACTGTATACCATCGATTCAATGAGGGAGGCAGGATATAATAAATTAAACAATAAAAGGTATTCCATACATTTGATAACAAGTCAGTATATCGTAGATTCAGTAATGAATCAGTATATCATAGTTTGAACAATGAATCAGTATATCATGGATTATGAAGTATGCGATACATACAACGATGAAGAAGAACGTCATAGATTAAGTAAGGAAGCAGTATGTCATAGATCTGGTAAGGAAGCAGTATATCTCAGGTTAAGTAAGGAAGCAGTATGGCATAGATTAAGTAAGGAAGCAGTATACCATAGATTAAGTAAGGAAGCAGTATACCATAGATTAAGTAAGGAAGCAGTATGTCATAGATTAAGTAAGGAAGCAGTATACCATAGATTAAGTAAGGAAGCAGTATATCATAGATTAAGTAAGGAAGCAGTATATCATAGATTAAGTAAGGAAGCAGTATATCATAGATTAAGTAAGGAAGCAGTATAGGATTAAGCATACCATAGTATATCATAGATTAAGTAAGGAAGCAGTATACCATAGATTAAGTAAAGAAGCAGTATACCATAGATTAAGTAAGGAAGCAGTATACCATAGATTAAGTAAGGAAGCAGTATAGCATAGATTAAGTAAGGAAGCAGTATACCATAGATTAATAGTAAGGAAGCAGTATACCATAGATTAAGTAAGGAAGCAGTATACCATAGATTAAGTAAGGAAGCAGTATATCATGGATTAATTGATGAGGCGGCATATCACAGATTCAGTGATGACGTAGTACATAGCAGATTCTGTAATGAATCAGTATCTCAGAGATTCAGTTATGAATCAGTATATCAAAGATTCAGTTATGAACCAATCTGTCGTATATTGTATAATGAGGCAGTGTATACAATGCAGAGAGTCAGCTGTGTTCTGAGATGAGTAGTTTTAGATGTCTGATGTAGCTGGGTACACTTGGGTCTTATTATCTTTGATGCTGTCGGCAACGCCGTGTGTGGACGCTCTGTACATTAATGAGTATAGAACAAAACAAAACCCTGTACGACACAACGTCTGTCTGGGAAGTAGATGGTCTGTACAACAGCGGAGGTGAAGTTCGGGTGGGGGTGGGGCTTGTGTTCATGTTGTATATTCCCAGGCAAACCTGTATACATTCATATACTTTTATCTAATGCATTCAAAATATACACAAAATAATTAAAAAAAATAATTTTAAGAAAAACTTGAAATTCCAACACCTCTTGAAATCGACGACTCATTGTCACTCATTGTCAAATGTCAACGGAGTCGAGAAAATGTTATAATGAAAGGAGCTTGTATTATTTACTTCCTTCACAACTCTTGTGTCCACTGTGTGAACCCTTGTTTTAGTCCCAGGGCCGAGACAACATGGCTTGTCAGCTACCACGTCGGCCAAGTGTAGTCGGCCTTTGAGGCCGGGTGAAGGATCGAGGTAGGAAGTGATAAATTACAATAGAAATCAAAGACACAGAGAAATGTATTAGCGAGGTAATATCCCTGTTCTGACATTACTGTTGGTCCATTAAATAGAGAGTTGGCTTCACAGAACCTTCGGCTTCCTACCATGCGAAGGCATGACCTTTAGGACGCATCCAAGACCAAAAGGTAATGTTAATGGAAGCAAGACTTTTTCTTCACGTTTTACATGATGTTCATTATCTGAATCAGGTGTCACTGTCTGTACGAGATCACGTCTCTACGAGATCACTTGATTCAGGGTGAAGATGAGTGGCCTGAGAGATGAAGCATGGGAATAGTTAGAGGTGAGGTGTAGAGTCAGGTAAAGGATGGGAAAGGTGAGATGGGCTGATTCAGTGGTTTGCGTTGGTGGGCAAGTGGTCGTGTAAGCGAAGACAGGTATTGGAGGGATCAGGGTGAAGGGTGGAGCTGGGGGAGACCTACATAGCAACGTGCTGGGCAGTCTACGAGTGGGGGATTTGTTGCTGGGATGTAGGAGGGAAGGGGATACTAATGCAGTAGGCGTGGTTACGCTGGATAAAGGTGGTAGGAAATGGGGAAAGTTGGTCGGATTATCAAGTAGAGAACCGTAGAAATCAGATTATTGGTGGTAGTGTTTGTGTTTTGGGGTAATTTTTGCATTTATATACTCCGCAAAAGAAAACATAGCTTTATAACGGCAATTATAATAACTTAATCTAGACAAGATAATCCACTGATATCATGACTTGATGGGACTCGATGACCTGCATCAATGAAGTCAGCCACCCTGACCACCAGATGCCATTAGTCGCGTTTTGCGACAAGCAAGTGTGTCCACGTGGAAGAACGAACCTCACCTATTCTCACGAAATGTGTCTCTGCATTAATAAAAACACTTTTTTGGTGACTTCACCTGATCATTTCATGTTTATATTAGGCGACAGGCTTGTTAGGTAGAAATTGTTAATGATCTGTTATTCATGTGTGTGACTCAGGATAAAAAGTTAGTCAAAATCACCAAAATGTGCATGTCTCCAATGATAGTATAACATTTTGAGTGAATATTTCAATGTAAATCACCAAAACAGATTACATTTTCGTCCATACCCAGAACATATCTTCATATGGTGTATTGTTTTTAGAATTTCTCCATAAAAGTGTAATCCACGTTACCCATGAAAATGACAATATAATAATTTTAAAACTGATATGTATTAATTAGATAGTATACTATATTTACATTTTTCTATTGGGACAATACAATATCAATCTAACAGCCACTAAATTTCAGCCGATATCTCACCATGATGCTTCACAGGTTTAAAGTGTCACTGTTTTAAAATGAATGGACCTATTCAGTAGTAATAACTAAGTGAAGGAGGTGCTCTTCCTTTACACTTTAAACGTTTGGTGGGTGCTAAAGGACGTCTGTCTAATCTACGTTATGTAATCAACGTGACCTCATTTCCAAAGGAGCAGCATCTGTTCGTCTGCATGCTCACAAGAGTTACGTACCTTGGGAACTGACCATCCACTGGTTCCAGAAGTAATATTGGCCAAAAGCACATGGCATGACGGAAATTTTGTTCAGTGGCGTGATTGAAATATGCATGATTGTCCAGTGACACTTTATACTCAGGGCTACTCAGGGCTACTCAGGTAAGACAGTTTTAAGGATCTAAAGTTATAGCATGAACTCTTGTAAACATTAAATGATTATTTACTTGTGTAGAGCAAGGAGGTGTGGTCAGGTGTAGTGCAAGGAGGTGAGGTTAGGTGTGGAACAGGGAGGTGGGGTCAGGCGTGGAGCAAGGAGGTGGGGTCAGGTGTAGTGCAAGGAGGTGAGGTTAGGTGTGGAACAGGGAGGTAGGGTCAGGTGTGGAGCATGGAGGTGGGGTCAGGTGTGGAGCAAGGAGGTGGGGTCAGGTGTGGTGCAAGGAGGTAAGGTTAGGTGTGAACTAAGGAGGTGGGGTCAGGTGTGGCGCACGGAAGTGGGGTCAGGTGTGGAGCATGGAGGTGGGATCAGGTGTGGAGCATGGAAGTGGGATCAGGTGTGGAGCAAGGAGGTGGGGTCTGGTGTGGAGCACGGAAATATGGGGTCAGGTGTCAAAAACAAGGAGGTGGGGTCAGGTGTGGAGCAGGGAGGTAGGGTCAGGCGTGGAGCAAAGAGGTGGGGTCTGGTGTAGAGCAAGAAAGTGGGGTCAGGTGTCAAAAACAAGGAGGTGGGGTCAGGTGTGGAGCAGGGGGGTGGGATCAGGTGTGGAGCAAGGAGGTGGGGTCAGGTGTGGAGCAGGGAGGTGGGGTCAGGTGTGGAAACAAGGTGTGGGGTCAGGTGGGATCAGGTGTGGAGGTAAAGGGAGGGTCAGGTGTGGGCAGGTGGGGTCAGGTGTGGAGCAGGGAGGTGGGGTCAGGGTGGAGCAGGGAGGAGGGTCAGGTGTGGAGCAAAGGAGGTGGGGTCAGGTGTGGAGCAGGGAGGTGGGGTCAGGTGTCAAGGAGGTGGGGTCAGGTGTGGGAGGTGAGGTCAGGTGTGGAGCAAGGAAGGTGGGGGGATCAGGTGTGGAGGAGGTGGGTCAGGTGTGGAGCAGGGAGGGGTGGGGTCAGGTGTGGAGCAGGGAGGGGGGAGTCAGGTGTGGAGTAAAGGAGGTGGGGTCAGGTGTGGAGCAATGAGGGGTGGGGTCAGGTCTGGGGCAAAGGAGGTGGGGTCAGGTGTGGGTGTCAAGGAGGTGGGGTCAGGTGTGGAGCAAGGAGGTGGGGGTCAGGTGTGGAGCAGGGGAGGAGGGTCAAGTGTGGAGCATGGAGGTGGGGTCAGGTGTGGAGCAGTGAGGTGGGGTCAGGTGTGGAGGTGGGAGGTGTGGGTGGTGTCAGGTGTGGAGGTGGGGTCAGGTTGGAGCAGGGAGGTGGGGTCAGGTGTGAGCAAGGAGGTGGGGTCAGGTGTAGGAGCATGGGAGGTGGGGTCAGGTGTGGAGCAGGGGGGTGGGGGTCAGGTGTGGAGCAAGGATGTGGGGTCAGGTGTGGAGTGTGAGGTGGGATCAGGTGTGTGGAGGTGGGGTCAGGAGTGTGGAGCAGGGAGGTGGGGTCAGGTGTGGAGCAGGGAGTCAGGTGTGGGAGTATGGAGGTGGAGTCAGGTGTGGAGATGGGGTCAGGAGGGATGGTGGGGTCAGGTGTGAAGCAAAGAGTGGTTTCAGTTGTGGGAGGTTGGGTCAGTTGGACCAAGGGTTGGTGTCAGGTGAGAAGGTGGGGTCAGGTGTGGGGAGGTTGGGTCCAGGTGTTTGAGGTGGGGTCAGGTGTGGAGCAGGGCAGTGGGGTCAGGTGTGTGGAGCAGGGAGGGTGGGTCAGGTGTGGAGTAGGAAGTAGGGGTCAGGTGTGGAGTAGGGAGGGTGGGAGTCAGGTGTGAAGAAAGGAGGTGGGGTCAGTTGTGGGTAGGGAGGGGTGGGGTCAGGTGTGGAGTAGGAGGTGGGTCAGGTGTGTGGTCAGGTGTGGAGCAGGGAGGTGGGGTCAGGTGTGGAGCAGGGAGGAGGGTCAGGTGTGGGAGGGCGAGGTGGGGTCAGGTGTGGAGCAGTGAGGTGGGGTCAGGTCTGGAGTAGGGAGGTGGGGTCAGGTGTGGGAGGTGGGGTCAGGTGTGGGAGGTGGGGTCAGGTTGGAGCAGGGAGGGGGTCAGGTGTGAGAGCACGGAGATGGGGTCTGGTGTGGAGTAATTACTGTAAATATATCCACTACAGTACATGAGTGTAGAGAGAGTGGAGCAGGGTGGAAGTAGTTGATGCCCAGCATTACTAGATGAGCGACAACATGGTGATCATTGCATGTCAAGTTCAGTAGTTTCAAAGTACACTAACAAATGAATTATGCATTTCTGATATCTAGAATGATATGCTTCAACAAACTGTTATAACAGAATATGTTTAACATGACAATTCACAAGTATAAAGCACCAGCGAATCGCTCAGAGCTAATAAATAGAAATCGATGACGGTGTACAGAACCGTGCATCCTGTTTCAGCCAATTAATATCTCGTCCACATACATCATTCCAGCATGAATATTCAGGTTCCACAACTCGCGTCACTTATAATGAACCGTCTAGAAGGCCAAGTGTCACCTCCACACCGTACAAAGACGTGTGATCTTCATGATTTGAGTTGGGCGGTGGGGTAGCCTAGTGGGTAAAGCGTTCAATCGTCACGCCTAAGTCCCGGGTTCGATTCCCCACATTGGTACAACGTGTGAAGCCCATTTCTGGTGTCCCAACCGTGACAATACTGGAATAAAAGCGGCGTAAAACTAAACTACAGATGAGTACCCCAGATACGTTTCTGTAAAATCAGAAACGTACCCTAAGACGATTCCATTCTGTATGTGTCGTTTTCTTAATCAGAACTGCATTTGACTGCGTTATATAAGAGCATACACGGTAACGAATATTTAGCTGTGCACAATGCCACTCGCCATCAGTTGAACGGGGACAACTACATACGGTTTCGGTTTAGGGTTGCGGAATATGGACTCGTCCTCCATTTAGGGTACCGGGCACATTTCTGTATTTTGTCTTTGTTTAGGATACGTTCCTGAATACAGAAACGTACCTGGGGTACTCATTTGTAGTACCTGTGCCGAGTACGATACCGAACATACAATATTACACCGCCGACCTCAAACCCCCCCCATCCCTCCGTCCTGGGTCACCCCCCACCCCTCAATCCTTTCGTCACGATCACCTTCCACCACCCCATCCCTCCGTCCTGGTCACCTTCCACCGCCACCCCAATCCTTCCGTCCCAATCACCCCCATCACCTACATCTCTCCGTCCTGAACGCCTCCTACAGCCCATAGCCGTGTCCCCATCTGAAACAGGCTTCACTGTTTACTAGACCAGATTTCTTGGCGTTCCTTTGAAAAGCCAGCAAATGGTTTCAGCAAAGGATCTGTTCATTGATGGATGGGAAACTGAAGGCGGATTACAGCCGCCATGTCAAGGCCAGTAGCCGGAGGTGCACCATGCTTGTCACTATTCAACCAGAATCAGCCGTGATGTGCGGAATGCCTCTCATAAATCTTGCTGTCACATCCCTAAACGCAGTGCTATTGCACAAATATTGAATTAACTATGTTTTATCCACACCAATACGCGTACGTACTTTGATGTTCAGGAACAGGCTTGCTCCAGTCGTTTTATTCAATTGGATTGTCAGAAAATGTTATGCTGACTATGATTCAACCTATCCTCAATTTTAAAAGTTAAAGTAATATAACCCCCCCCCGTCCCCTCCCAAACGCCCATAACCCCCCCTCTCCCTATCTCTTGAAAGACACGTGCCCGGCTCATGGCAGAAAGGCGATATGGGATGGAGATCAGAACTAGAGTAGTCAGTTTTGAATGATATCGACTAGTTTTCACAATACATGTTCACCCCTTGTGCATCCATTCTTAACAAGTTGCTATGGGAGACTGTTGACAGCCCATAAAGAGTAATAGGAACTAAATGAATCGGACAGGAATAATCAATTTATTACAACAACATAGGTGAAACACAAAGCCTATATTTCCCTGGAGGTATTTAATTAAATCCCCCATTGTGCAATCAACAACAGGTACAGTCTAACTATTCACTAATCATTGCTGATGGCTTCCCAATCTCAAGTCTCTAATCAAGTTGAAATTCTCCTTCAGCGTCATGTACAATGACCGTAATGTTATGGTGGTGCCAGTACTTAAGAAAACACGTCATTTCTATTTCTTATCAACAAGGCGAAATGACATGGTAACAGCTAAGACATTGCTTTCAACCACTCGGTTAGGTTAAGTGTACAGCTCGCCTGTTGTCGGGGGCGCCTTCAAAATGATCTCCACTCTAGAAGGTGAAGTTGAGATCACAGGGGCTTGTAACGCTAAAAACTGCCATCAAGGTATATACTGTCACTGGCGGGGTCTTAGTACTATATAAAAGGAAAGGGATGTAACTAGGTCAACACACCAAGCTCGTTTCAGGGCGAATTCAACAATGCTCACTGTATTTATCCCATTTAAAATTGCACACATTTCAAGCCAATAGATTTACCTACAAAATGAGACGTACAGCACAAAAATCGAAGCAGTTCTTTGGGAGCTAGGGTCTTCGGAAGTTCGAAAAATCGTGATTTGATGGGGCATATTTTATTTTTAGCCAACGAGTTCCCTTGCTCTTTTAAGTGCGGGGCAGGTTAAGGCCAAGGTCGTCAATGGCAAACGGGCACGACACAATTCTGTTTGCGATGAATAAATGTACGTAAACTCATTATGACAGTGAGATGTGTCTCCGAAAGAATGGCGACTGTGGTTGAAATGGGGTTCAAGATAGTTCACTTGTACGTGAGTGTGTGTGGCCGGTACTTGTCCGGGTTTACGCCGGTTCTACTGTCCCTCTGATATAACACACCACTGTTTAACACCAAGTCTGACACAGTGTACCGACGTTTAGTTAGACTAACGCTTAGTCTCTGAATATATATAATTTTGACAGTAAGGAAAAACCCATTTACATTGAACCTGAGGAAGTCTAGACTTGCTTCATTTAGGGCTTTAGCATTACATGGAGGGCTATGTAGGGAAAATATTGTGGTTCAGGGACTGTGAGACAGACTAATGGTTAGTCGACTTTGACTCGACAAGCCTCCTAGTGCTGCGCGCCAGGCTCGGTGAGGACAAGTATCGTCTTTGGGTATAACACGGTCATGACGGTGAGGAGATCGAACCTCAGGTCTATCCAGGCAGACACACTTACCACTAAACCAAGGAGGCGATCTCCACATTAGATGGGAGAACTAATCAAGCAAACGGGCAAATTCATTAGCTGTCATGTGACTGGTTTCACGGGTGCCTTGGTGCAAAACTTGATATATTATTCATCACTGATCAGCCCTGTGTTCTGTAAACCAATTATGACAGTGTGAATAGAAGCGACTACAGATGGTGAGGTGAGGTGAAATTGGGTTTAACGTCGTGCTTGAGAATATTTCGCTCATATGACGACGTGCATGCGTGTGTATGTGTATGTGCGGCTGCTTGTACTAGCCCAGATTTAAGCTGGTTTTATAGTGCTAGCCCACTGAAATACCATGCCGCAGTGAAGCATGAATACCCCACTCAGACACATTATACTGACTCCGAGCCGACCAGTCCTTGTTGTACCCATTAATGCCGAGCGCCAGGCAGGGACCAACAAGTACCATATTTTAACGTCTTTTTGGTATGACGCGGTCGGGGATCGAACCCGCGACCTTCCGCTCTCCGGGCGGACGCTCTAACCACTACACCACGGAGGCGGTTGCGACTACAGACATAACGTTCCTGACGCGATCTGCCAGCACCAGTGCTAAGGTTACTGTCAGTGTAGCATAAAGTAGAAACATAGAATGATACTTGCTATCATGCGTATGTGTCTTATCAATGCCATAACCCTTTCTTTGACGTTGAAAAAATACATATTTTTGAATCAGTACCATGATTCTAGCGGCAAGTGATACATCACCACCGATTATCATACTCATAAGGGGCGGTGGGGTAGCCTAGTGGTTAAAACGTTTGCTCGTTACGCCGAAGGCCCCGGGTTCGATTCCCCTCATGGATAGAATGTGTGAAGCCCATTTCTGGTGTTCCCTGCCGTGATATTGCTGGAGTATTGCTAAAAGCGGCGTGAAACCCAGCTCACTCACTCACACCTACTCTGTTAAAGAATGGTGTCTCAGATGTATGTCGCATGTGAGCGATGGGTCGAAGTAAATACTACTCGCTGTGCAAAATATAGTGCCTCTTGACTGTATAACACCATACCCATAGAGATGTCACGTGACGTCCACAGCCTTCATTCCTTTGGATTTAGCACCCAGATTAAATTCCTGACAATATCAAGGCGGGAATAACAGCAATGTAACCATGTTTGGATTCGAACCCGTACCTTCGGCATGCCTAGCGAACGCTTTAACCAGAAGGCTTCTCCACCGCCCCTCATCGAATACGATACATTCCTGTTCAGATGAGTTAACTCAACTACTGACTAAGGGGGATGTTCTAATGATGCCATTACTAGAACATTAGTAGAACATTACAGTTTGCGTGATATTTGTTTTCTGAAACAGCCTGGTGTTTAAAGGCCACATCTCTCAAGGAGAAATTATGTAATGTGATCTGGA